TGGTGATTTGTTGTGAGAGAAAAATACTATCCGTTCGCTAAAAAGTACCGCTGAAGTAGTTCAAATGAACAGGGCTTTAGATATACGCTATGTCTAGATATTTAATAAAAGTAATGTATCTAGTAAAATCAAAATATCTTATAATTTAGAAAGAAGGAATTAAATTATTATACTAGACTAATAGTGGATCTATTACACATGCTCATATTGATTCCTTGTGCCAAAACAACAACGCACTAATTTTTTTTGTTCATTTTTTTATATTATGATTAGTTTCATTCATTTAGTTAAATTAAATATCAACGAACTAAAGAATCCTATTTTTCATTACAGACAAAGTTTAGTGGTAGACCACTTGGAACTTGGGCCATGTTTAATTCCTCCCAAACTCCTGAAAAGTGCATTATGCAAAAAGAAGATTTCCCGTCACATTAAATTTGTGGTACATGGATACTAAATGTAGACGAAATAAAAAACTAATTGCACAGTTTGATTGTACTTTGCGAGACGGATCTTTTGAGCCTAATTAGTCAATGTTTGACAATAATTCACAAATACAAACAAAATGCTACAGTGGGGAATCTTGCACTGTGTAAACTTTGCACCTCGGCCAACTAAACAAGGACTTGGTAATGCAAAATGAGATTTGTCCCAAATTCTCTTCTGTCTTCTGACAAAAATAAAGTGGTCTAGCTGTCCCTTCCATGTGGGGCTATCTCGAGAACTGCAGGTGGGCCCACCTCAAAGCCTCCCGCTCAAACGATTTCGAAATTTGAAACACCCCTTCCCCTAAATCTCAAATCAATCAACCATTCCCAAATCCAAATCAGAGCGACCTTTCCTCTTGTCCCATCTACCCCGGAACCCGAATACCCCAAACCCTAGCCCTGCATCGCCTCCCGCTATGTCCTCCCGCCTCAAGGATCGCGGCGGCGGCAGGGTCACGGCCGCGGCAACCCGCCCGTTCACCCCGAAGCCCTTCTCCATCTCGTCATCCGCCCGGCGGACGACCGCCGCCGCCGCCGCCGGGAAGGAGAACACCGCGTCCAAACCGTCCAAGCCCACCTCCGCCGTGCGGTGGTCCACATCGTCGCTCCCGCGGGCCAGCAGGATCCAAAGCTCGGTGGACTCCTCCAAGCTCGTCTCCACCCTTAGGGCTCCCGTGCTGCCGGGGAGGCCTTCCATCGGTAAGGATCCCGTGGTTGACGCAGGCTTGCGGCGGAGCGTCAGTGGTGGGATCAGGGCTTCTTCTGTAGAGAAAGGAAGGAGGTCGGTTAGTGTTGTTGGATCCAGGGCCTCCGAAGCTAGGAGAGGGAGTGCTGGCGCTGGTGGTGATGACATCGGCAGAAGGGAGAGGTTTGATGCGAAGGCCAAGGGGTTGGACGAGATCAGCAGGAAAAGAGATGGCCTTGATTCCAAGGGGAAGCAGACTGATGAGATTGGCAGGAAAAGGGAGAGCTTTGATGCAAAGGCCAAGCAGATCGGTGGGAAAAGAGAGAGCTTTGGTGTGAATGTGTCGAAGCAATGTGTTGAGATCAAAGAGAAAACGGATGCATTCGTGAGTAGTATGAAGAAGCAATGCGAAGATTTTGGTGGGCGAAGAGAGGGCTCTGATTTGAAGGCAAAGGCAGGTGAAGAAATCAATATGAAGAAAGAAGGGCCCAATAAATTGGTGAAGGAGATGCATACCAAAAAAGCTGATTCAGGAGAAGCTTCTTCCAAATCCGTGGAATGTTGTGCCACCCAGAAGGATGATGAGATAGGCAACACTTCTGTCATCCCTGTTTTCACTGTCCATGTGGTGGATTCAAATTTTGTCCCTGATCCAATAAGGAAACAGCAAAAGAATAATGAAGAGGGCAGGAAGCAGGAAGAAAAGGGAAAATTGGCAGACAGGATAAGAGTTTTTGAGAAAGTGTCTGTAGGTGGGGAGGGAGGGTCAGCAAAACCCGTGTCTGCTATGAACAGGTACCCAAGCAAACTTCATGAGAAACTAGCCGCACTGGAAGGGAGGGTTCAGAAGATTGCTACCGATATCAAGAAAACCAAAGAAATGCTCGATGAGAACAACCCGGACGAGCCAAAGCAGATCTTGTCAAATATTCAGAAGGAAATCACTGCCATTGAGAAGGCAATTTCTCATGTCAAGGATGATAATAAGATACAGCTGGGTACTGCAGATAGCAGTGAATGTGAGAGCTCTCACCCTGAAACAGCTGAAAAATGTACCATTACAAAGCCAGGTGACCTGAAGCAAGCTGGAAAAGTCTTGAATGCTGATGAGCTAGAGGCAAGGTTCTTTCCACACCACAAATTGTTGAGGGGTCGCATATCTTCGACTTCTACTCAACAGGAGTCATCTGTGGATATGAATAAAGATTGTAATGGAAAAACAAGACCTGCTGCATCTAACCCTGACGATGATGAGAATAGTATAGCCATGGAGTTTCTGGCTTCTTTAGATGGTGAAGAAAATGATTTCTTCAAGGATCGTCGAGCTAAGAAATTGGAAAAGAATAAGATATGTGAAGTAGCAGATGCTACCAGCAAGACATCAAGTCAAGGTAGCTCAAAGAATCCAGTTGGTCCCAATCATAAGGAGGAAATTGAATTGCTTTCTACAGAGGAGCTAGAAGAATTTGATGATCAGGAAAACAAGTCCTCCATGATGTTACAGGAAGAAACTGAGGAGTCATGCAATAGTCAGTTATCAGGTATAGGAAACAAGTCTTCAACTGGTGGATGGTTTGTTTCAGAGGGGGAAGCTGTTCTTCTTGCTCATGGAGATGGCACATGCTCCTATTATGACATTGCAAACCATGAGGTATTTGGTTATTTTCTACCTACATTTGCTCTGTTTTCATTTTTAATTGACATTTTGTTAGATACCCTGAGTGCTCACTGCTTTCAACTGAACTGATGCAGTTCAAATCTGAGTATAAGCCTCCCAGCATGGTATCGAATAATATGTGGGGCGATTGCTGGTTGATTCGTGCCCCAGGTGTAGACGGATGTTCTGGCAGATATGTTGTTGCTGCATCAGCTGGGAATGCATTGGAGCCTGGGTTTTGCAGCTGGGATTACTATACCAGAGAAGTAAAATCATTTCATGTCGAGGAGGAAGCTTCTCAAGCTTTTGCTCCAACATCCAGGGCTATTCTTGGTGCTCTCTCTAATGTAGGTTCATCAAGATCCAGCTCCGCGCTGTCAAATTCAGAAAGGCAGCAATGGTGGTATAAACCGTGCGGACCTCTCCTGCTTTCTACTGCTAGCAAGCAAAAGATGGTCACAGCTTATGATATACGTGATGGCGATCTTGTGATGAAATGGGAAGTTAGCAATCCAGTAATGGGAATGGAATACTCCAGCCCACTACAATGGCGTAGCAGGGGGAAAGTAGTAATTGCTGGGAGCGAATCAATAGGGTTGTGGGATGTGAATTCACTTAACCCACAACCCTTGTTGTCTGTTGCTTCTGGTAAGAAAGTGTACTGCCTTCATGTGAATAACACTGATGCTGAGGTGGGCGGCGGAGTGCGTCAAAGGTAAATCAGTAAACCTTACATCACATTGAATGCACCAAGTATTAGGTGTATTAAAGACCCTATCAAGTTTACCTCAGCTTATGCTGTTGAAACTCGGAATTTTTCTTCTTTTTAGTATCAACAGCTTTTAATATCTCGTCTCGCTGTTGATGAAGTATCTGATTATCTGAAAGAGATGTATAAAAATATATTATGTGACATCTGCCCTGGTCAAATCATTTAACACCTGTTTGTATGTGTTTTTTTTTTTTGCAGGGTTAGTTCATCTGAGGTGGAAGGAAATGATGGTGTTTTCAGCACACAGGAAAGTGTTAATGTATTTGATTTTCGTGTACCTGCTGGCATTGGGCTTAAAATGGCAAGACATGGTGCCACAGCAAACTCAATCTTCTCACGTGGAGACGCAGTATTTATCGGTAGCACAGAAGGAAGACTGCAAATAAAAGGAGGGTTGAGATCACGAGTTCAGCAATACTCGTTGAGAAAGGGGAAACTTGTCGCCACCTATGAGTTACCAGAATTCAACGCTCATATCCATCACTCTGCAATAACCCAAGTATGGGGCGACTCAAATCTTGTCTTGGCTGCATGTGGTATGGGGCTGTTTGCCTTTGACACATTTAAGGAAGACATGCAGCCAACCTACAGCTTTGACCGTGGAAACACCATTGGAGTGAGAGAAGCTATTGGCCCTGATGATTTGTACTGTCCTACATTTGATTACTCATCATCAAGGGTTCTTCTTGTCTCAAGAGATCGTCCAGCACATTGGAGGTACTTGTAGGCTGTAGCTAGCTATTTAATGCTTATTTGTGTGCAATGTGTGTCATGTAATATATGTACTTTATTTATGCTTCACATGTGGTGTTGGTGTCATCTGCCGTGTCAAGCATCTTGCTTTCACTGTACTGGCAGATATTATCTAGTTTTTACCCCTGCAATTATAAAGTATTTTCACTCTTCTGTACCCTTTTTTTATTATTTTGTGCTTCGCATGTTTTTATGTTCTTTCTCGGCCCTCGGTTGAAACACTATTTGTGGAAACATGGTTCAAATTCTGCTTGACGACCATATGTTTCAATGCAATATTTTTCAGTCATCAATTCCCAGATACATTCATAACTTAATGATTGACAAAATTAAGATCTTGTTAGTCAATTAACATGCAATAATTCTCATTCGACCAGTAAGTAAATCCACATCATCTTTCCTGACCAGAACGCCTCATGTTGTACCCTGGCGCCTCATCTACAATGCACCATCTGAGCTTATTCCATCTTAAAATCTGCAACGTTTTGTTCTTGTGCAGTTATGCTTCTGATTTTTTTTTATTACCACTTAGACACCAATTCTTGCGCAAGCACTAGCAGGGACAGTGTATCCATTCCTGGAACTCTTCTGCCCCCCTTCCTTTCATACTGGGAACATGTTGGCAAGTTCTTATCTTTGTCTTCATCAATCAGTTTCAAGTTCACGGAATGGTAATGGGACAGTCTTCACTGCTCTAAACTTTCCTGCGTTGGTTAAGTGTTCATTCTCCAGCCTGCAATACGATCAAAATACATCAAGTTATAGCCAAACATCGAAATTGGGACTAATGTTTGCAGCTTTCTACTAATTCTCCCACCCACCCAATTACCTGTAGAAGTTCCAATGCCCTCGTCGGATAATTTCCAGTGAAGCGATTGAGAAATCCAGCAAGCGAGACTCCACCATACCAAGATGGAGCTTCATTACACTCTCTGCCCAGGCTAGGCGCAGCACAAGGTTGAGCATCTGTGTTGTAAAGGCGTTAGCGCTACTGAACTTGGAATTCCCTAAATCAGTTCAGTAGTATTGAAAAATAGGTGAACAATGTATAGTACCATGGAAGCATAGTAGACTGACTTATTCTTCAGGATGAGTTGATCTCGGAGCCAAAAGTTCTTAGATTTTGGGTCTAAGAAGCCCCAGTCCATGACAAAATCCCAGTAGATCTGGTAAATGGTGGCACCTGTAGATGATATTATGACCATCCACATCCAGAATGGTGTCGGTGTCGCAGCATACTTGAACCTAACAGCAGCTGCTACCATTGCTGATACGTACTTGCCCGCATTAGCAAGCTGGTTGAGATCATGACCTTCTTCCAGGTACCTTCTCAAACACTACCACATAGCAGCAGAACATTTAGTTTGAATTACTCTGAACAAATTGCTAAATGTTATAGTACATCACTAGATTCAATGTATACCTGCATCGCTCTCCAGTAGTATGGCAGGAAGGAAAGCACATATGCCAGGTTTTTGTATTGAGAGCTGCTGGTACAGCTTCCATACGCGTGAGTTCTAAAAGTTCCAGCCATGAAGTAGCACCCTGTGAACTCGAGGTGTCTTAACAGTGGGATCTGGAAAATAAGACACCTGAACTCATGAGAACCTGCACTGTAATGCTCCATGTCTAGTATACGGCAGAGCAGTTTACCTGGCTGGTTAGCTGGTCAGCCATGAAGAAATCTGCCATCAGAACCTGCATTACAAGGCATCCTGGTAGATCAGATAGATGTTTCCAACACACAGTGTTCCTCTAAATTCCTTGGCCCTTACCTTGTAGAATGGAGAGAGTATGATGTTGCGCATGACGCGCATGAAACAGTAGCGCGTCGAGCGATAGAAAATATTGAATGGGCAGAACAGAACCCCTGCTGACAGCTGAAACAGAGGCAGAGGGTTGTGGAGGACTGAAATCAGTACAACTTGTGTGTGTTACAGCAAAACAGATTCTCCAAATGGCCTGTGTTGCTTACAAGCAGAAGTGCCCCGGGCAGTGCGTTGGCGTAGGTTGCCCCAGCGTTCCTGAGGAACAGGTTGATGACCAGCGCTGCGACGATGGTGCACATGATGGATGCCGACATGAGGAAGGCGTCCCGGTGCGTCAGGGCGGTGCTGGAGGAGAAATCGAATATGAAGTTGTGGTTGATCCTGGTGCTCTTCCACATGAAGAGGTTGCACCCATACAGGAAGACGTGCAGGCTGATGAGTGCAAACATACTGCAGAAGCAAAGGCCGTCAGCAATGGTACTTGGAGGTAAGATTGTACGTACATCCTAAAGCCTGAAGAGTTGGATTCAGAAATTGCCTGAAGACATGGTAAACAATCTCCATGTAGGCTGTGTTTCCGGTAGAAGAGAAAATGCCAGCGACATGGGCTAGAACTGAATATATGATGAATAAGGACACAAATGTGCCTGTGAACAGGCCTGAAACCACACACAAAAAATAACAGTATGAGCAACTCCACCAGATTGAGAAAATGCAATCCCATATATCTGTCAACTCAGTCTTGTAAGCTAGGGTGACAACTCGCCTACGAGGAAGGTGATCATGTGGGTGTTCCTGGGCTGCTGCGGCTTGAGGTACTTCATGGCCACCTTCCTGTCGTTGTTTGCGAAATGCCTCAAGAAGATGGACTCCACCTCGTCTGCCAGCTGAAGCACCTGCTCGACCAGACCAGGTCAAATAAATTCCTTCTTCAGATACTACTAGCTTTCTTCAGATAAGTGTAGCATGCTCGTCAGATTTCAGTAGGATCTTGGATGTATGGTACCTTGTCAGAGCTGCTGAATGGCGACCTCTTCACCTTCTCAGAAAACAGGTCAGTTTTCCGCTGCTGCTCCGACACCTGGAATGGAATGCAGAGAATGAATTTCTTGTCATTTGTGGGTAGCAAAACTGAAGCACACACAAACACAGCGTGTGGCATCTGAATTCTTGGTACAAATCATGATATGCTACTAAAATATCTGACTATTTAAGTTGTTATCTGAATTCTTGGTACAAATGTTTTATGTTTACAAAACTTGCAGTAGTTTTTTTTTTTTTTAATAAGGGATGGATCTATCTATATTCCTGTACATGTGTTTAGTAATGTACCAGTTCCCTTTATTCTGCCTATTGTGGAGTTTGTTCTCTCTTGTACTCCATCCGTTTCAAAAGAACACATATATACGGCATACATGATGATGCCTAGCTAGTTGAGCAAAGCGCAGTACGCACCTTGACGAATTTCTTCAATATTTTGGTGAAAGCCTTCACATTGAGGGAGCTGCATCCGTCCATCCACACAGATACGCCACACAAATGAAACAAAAAAAATGCCTATCAATCCATAACCGCACAACAAAAAGTCCCTGAATTAACAACATGAGAAAAGGACAGGTCAAATAATAACATATCATAAACTACACTTGCTATAATTAACAAGAGGAGAAAGGGACAGGTTTAGTAAAACAGAATAACCTAGTGCTAGTGCAGTAGAGCATGGCTCCGGTGTAGTACGTGGTTCACTCACTTCACAGTCACATGCTTCCCTCCATGCATTCAAAGTTTCAAACTGGCTCAAATTTGGAAACTTGCATGGATCCAATAGCAACAGAGCAGAGCAAGTGTTGAGAGTGACGTGTAGTGAGATGAACTGAACATGCAAGTGACGTGACGACAGACACTGTTGCAGCTGCCTATACGTTGGAGCGATCGAGCCCTTGTTTAGTTGGGTGAATTTGGATTTTGGGGCTACTGTAGCACGTTCGTTTTTATTTGGTAAATAGTGTTCAAACATGGACTAATTAGGCTCAAAACGTTCGTCTCGTAATTTCCCACCAAACTTGTGGTTTTTATTGTGTTTTTATTTGGTAAAGCGATCGAGTTTGCTCGTGCAACTGATCGAGAGAGAGAAAGAGAGAGCATCCAGCCATCCAGCATATCAAACATATATACCTGAACTTCTTGAGGAGTTCGAGGCCGCGGTAGAGGGCGAGGAAGGCGTCGCGGATGTTCTTCTCGGCGTGCTGGACCTTCTTGCGGTGGACGAAGGCGGCGGCGGGGTCGGCGCCATCCTTGCGGAGCACGTTGACAAGCTCCTCCCACACCTTGAGCGCCGCCGGGCCAGGGCTGGTGGGCGGGATGTCGATGCGCACCGTGGCTGGCAGCTGCAGCAGCGCGGCGCGGCCCATGAGCTGCTTCCCGCTGCCGTCCTTCTTGGCCTTGCCCAGCCCGCCGCCCACGAAGCTGACGCCGTTGCCCTCCAGCGCCGCCATCACCTCCTCCGCCACCGCCGCGCCCTCCGCCACGCGCGCCTGCTGCAGCTCCACGCTCCCGTCTGCATTCGAGAATGCCGATCTGTCAGCAGTCAGGTCACGTGCGGGCATGCATGCGATCGTTGCGAGCATGTAAAGGCGGCGATCGGCCGGCCGCGGCCGGTGGGGTTCATGTGTGCCTACAGCTTTGACGTGCAGTGCAGACGTGACGTGGCTGCGGTTTTGGTCGGTCCACCTCACCTACCTGACATGGACTGCGGCGAGGCCACGAAGGGGGAGGAGAGGAGGTGGCGGCCGCTGTTGGACCCGTTCACGGACGGCGGCGACGAGGCCGTCCGGGCGAGCCGCGCCCGCCCGCGCCGGGACGCCGCGGCGTGGTCGGCGAGGATGCGCTTGACGTCGGCCAGGATGCGGAGCTGCTCGATAAGGGCGTCGCCGCGCGCCAGCATGTCCGCCTCCTTCGCCGCGTAGAACTTGTTCACCTTCTCCAGCTCCTCGTCCGCCTTCTCCAGAAACTCTTGCTCCTGCACATACATGTCATGTGTACGTACAAACAACGCGCCATGTAGTTAGTAACTTTTTTACTACTTATTAATAACAACAAACAGATTATTAAATAAATATATAATGAATAATACTAATATATAGTTTGGTATGCATGCTATTATAGTACAACTCCAGTAGTCTTAGATGATTCATCAAGATAGACTATTACATTACATACATGCTTGTCCGTGGCTCGCATGAGCTCCCCTGAATCCGATTCGAAGCCCTCCGAGTCGTCGTCGTTGCCGTCGCCGCCCTCCTGCGCGCAAGCGTACGTACACGAGCGTCAGAAACACTCGACGACCGGTCGGCGACGCCGCCGCCGTATTTCTACTCACTCTCAAGACGTATGCATGCATGCACGGCTGGAGTGCAGTATGTATATATGCGACGGCAGCGGCGGCGGCGACGACGACGCACGACACGAACGCACACGAGCGGCGGCGGGCGACACGACACGACACGACGTACTGGTGAGGCCGGCGTCGCAGCGAAGTGGGCGGCGAGGGCGCGGACGGGGTTGAGGACGGAGAAGCCGTAGCTACCGCTGCTGGCGTTGCTGCCGCCGCCGTCGCTACTTCTACCGCCACCACCGGCGCCGGCGGCTTCCCTCCCGGCGAGCAGCAGCGGCGCGGCGTCGCGGCGGGCGATCTTGATCCTCTTGACGAGCTTCTTGAGGCCCTTGTAGTCGACGAAGGCGGCCTTCCACTCGGGGATGATGCTGGCCTCGTACTCCCGCGAGAACTTCACCATCCTCCGCGACCGCCGCCAGCTGCCCCCCCTGCCGTATATGTAGTAGCTAGGCGGGCACGCCCGCGTGCGTGCCTGTCGTCCCTGCTTGCCGGCCGGAGGACCTCTCTTTCACATCAGCCGGGGAGAGCAGCAAGAGGGCCGGGGGACAGGGACAGGCAGGAGTGGTGGTGGAAGCAACCCTGCTGCGCGAACGGCTTATATAGATGGAGATGGAGATGGAGGACAGAGGAGGAAGAGGAAGCGTGCCTTGCCGCCCGCTCAGAGAGATAGAGGTAGCTAGTGCGTGGTGCTGCAACGGCACCTAGCTAGCCCAGCCAGGGGATAACAATATTAGGTATGTAGAGGGAGAAAGGTAACCAGTGAATGGATGAAGAAACTGGTGGAATGTGCATTGTGGATGCATGCCTCCTCCTCCTCCTCCTCCCGCTGTTGCTTGTAGTGGAGATCGAGCTTGCAATTTATTCATGCTCCCACAATGCACTCTTTTTTTATCTCTCTCTCTCTCTCTCACACACACACACACACACACTCATGTAAATGCGTGTCTATATGTATAGATATAGATTTTGTTAGAAAAAAAAAAATGTTTCGGTCACCCTAGTCTCGCACTGACATCCTTTTGGGTTTTTTCTAACAAAAAATGGAATGTCTCTGCGGTCGGTCGCACACAGCAGACACGCAGACAATGTGTAGATAGATATATTATTTTGAAAAAAATAAAACGTCTTTGATCTCGGCTGCACGCAGCCAATGTATATCGATAGATGACGCACGCCGCAGCAATATAGATACATAGATATAGATATATTATTGATAAAATATGTTAGGAGCGTTGGCAGAAGGAAAAAAAACATGTAAAGATAGTAGTGATGAATTACTTGGTTGAGTCAGAGTTGAGTTTTGCAATGAGGCCGGCGGGCCGGTCGCTTTTATTTGTTTGTTGGCATAAGAAAGGAAAGTTGGGGCCGGGCGCTTTGCATTGCTTTCGTGCATGCCGCGCCATCTTCCTGGTGGATCCGTGGCTGGCTCAGGGATTGCATTGCGTGCCAGGAATTCAGCAGGCCGGGCGACCTGGGTCTCTATGCAAGCAACGCAACGCCTGCTAGTGCTGCTGGCTCATCGTCATCAGCTGCGTGCAATCCGTGAGCTTGGATATATGATCGGAGGATTACTGGTGCCGTAAAGCACTCTTGTTAAGTTAAACAATCCTTGTTAGCGCAGTGCACTAGGTACGTTACAGTGACAGGTCACTGCCTGCGTGCATGTGTGTAATGCACCAATGCTGCATGCTTTACACATCTCCGTCGCAAATGTCACGATCGCCGATGGTGGTGGTGGTGGTGGTGCATGCAGCAGGCCGGCCGCCGGCGAGGCGAGGCTCTGACGTGGCAGTGACGCGCCGCAACAGCATGCGCACCTGAGTCCTTTTTTATAGATTAATTAAACTAACAAACACGATCGTTAGTTCTTGGGATTGATTAATTACTGTTGCGTTCACACGGATTTGTGTGTGTGTTTTCAGAGGCCGGGCGGCCGGCGGATGGGAGCACGAGCAATAGGTGAAAAAGCGGATCGGAGGAGTGTACACCAACAACTCGGATGGTGACACACACGGTGACGACGAGCGACATACAGTGAGAGCAGCAGGCGCCGTGGCCAGACCTGTTCATGTCCCGATGAATTGACACCGCGCTGACAAACAGGCCTGGCTTGTAATAATCGATTTTAAGCACCCACCCAACGGTATATGGGGTAAATTAATATTGGCTTTGTGTGTATGTCAAAAAGAAAACATTAACTTTGTACAGTATAGTAGTTGCCAATGGCGAGGCTATCGCCCTGCCACTCCGAGACCCCGAGCAACTGTTCGGGCTCGGCAAGTGGCGAAGCTTGGAGGAGAGTGGGAGGAGCAGGGAGGAGGGCATTTACTTTTTAGTTACATACAAATTATCTAGGTCATTCCCTTCGCAAAAAAAAAAACCTAGGCTATTAAGGGGTCTAATACAAAAAAAAGTTAGATGTGGGTCGTAGGGCTTAGCGAATCGCGCAAAAATAAATTACATATATATATATCAAAGAAAAACCATTCGTGCATAATGAAAATCGTCAGAGCAGAGCTCCTAAAAGTTTTTGGCGCTGCGTCAGTGTGCATGTATGACTGGTGATGTTGTAGCGTCCCGCGCTTTCCCGCAACCGAAAACGCGCTGTTGCCACATACGTACAGCTTGGGCGCATCGCACACCATCGTGTTCGATCTGGCTGCTTAGGCAATATATATCGTGTCCCAATGCCAAGCAACGCAGGCGGAAAACCTGCGAGCGTTGCCAAGCTTTTTGGAGTCTTCCTGTTCAACTATCTGCGCGCTGGCATACGGTTGACAGGGAGCGTACCAGGATGGGGAAGCTAACGATCCAAGCCTCTCTTTTAGCCACGCGCACGGGCTACCTCTATTGCGTTGCAAAGGGTCAATGCAAGCGAAACTGCTTTCAACTGATGGTGAGCAAAAAGCATGCCTCGGCCTTAAAAGAATGCCATTCGTGTTTTTTTAGGAACCAATCAATTTTAAATTTAACAAAGTTTATATAAAACAATAGCATTTATCATTTAAGGAGCTAAGTAAATATAATTAAATAAAAATTATTTAAAGGATCGAAACGACAATCAAAGGAGAGGGTGAATGAAAGCCTCGAAATTCTCTTCTCAGCAATGACAACTAACAAAGAGCGAGGTCTATATTTTGTTACGACACACGAACCTCTCAAACACACATAGTCAAAGTCATGTAATCACAACGAATCTAAGGATCTTAGAAATTAGGTTAGACAGATGCAGGAAAAAAACGGTGGTCAAAACGCACCACTCGGGACTCGAAGAACAAATGTCAAAACCTAATCATATGACCTCATAAAACCGTGAAATTTGGTGGAGGGGTTTATAACATTACAGAGAACATCTTCACCAAAAGTTACCTCAATTGGAGCAAGTTTGAAAAACTGGCATGGGCTGGTTTTCGCTATTTTCGGCAAAATCTCCTCCAAGAAAAAAATCAACCTCAATTCAAATAAGCACAAAAAATTACAAAACATTGCACACACCCTAACTAACCCATTTTGAAGCTATCCTAAAGAGATCAAGCAAAAAAAAATTAAAGCTTAGATGGTAATTTCAAAATCCCTCTCTCAAATTGGGTTTTGCCTCCAAATGGGGATTTCTAGGTGCTCGTGGAAAATCTGTCAAAGGCATTGGCTATATGTATTTCCCAGCCCTCATAGCTCCTAAAGATCATTCAAAGATGTCCCAAAAATCTCAACACGAAGGTATTGAAGAAAATCATCAAAAGAGGCTAAAAAAAGGATGATTGGAACTGTGGAGATAAGGGTTGAACTTCAGGCCATGATTTAAAAAAAGTTCCAAGGATGCCAAAGTACTCTGAAACCAAGCTTACAACTTCTCCAAAATAGCAGATCGAAAATCACCAAAAAAAGGCTCCAAAAATCAACAAAAAAAGAATTTTTCAGATTTGGAAGAGGGGAACAAATTGAGCATGAAATTAAACTTTAGATTACTTCAAGATGTGCGATCACAAGCCACTCTTAGCAGATCTAAAGCCTGGATGACAAAAATCTCAAATCAAAGAGCCTCTCTCTCCCTATCTCTAGATCTAAGCAAAAACTATGCACCTAACAAAAGAGAGTCCAATCCTTCTAATCCCCCAAGTTGTGTCCTCACAACCAGCCATCTTTCATATATATGAACACTTGCCTAGTTCCCAAATTTCCTTTACAGGAAGTACTCATCCCAAATAACTGAGGGGTAAAACCATCCAAGCTTTCATCATTGATACAATGGACCCGGTGCCTTCTCGATTTCGCTTCGTCTCGGCGCAAGCTTTGAGATTGCACCATATCTCCACCGATCTACTACTCCCCAGTTTTGATGAGGCCCAAATCAGTCAAATCCGCTACTAATGATTTTGAGGCACAAACCACTAAACACTCCATACATGGTTTTGGACCAAACCAGTAAACTCTCATGCAGGCCTAGCCAAGCGTGACCCACCGATGTCAAAACGTGTCCAACCTCCATGTCCTCGGCCAGCTCGGCGGTCCACCAAGTGCTTGCAACGCCTCGTCGTGACTTGATCCAACCCTGTCCATGACTCTGGTCGACTCCGTCTTCATCATCCATATACTCTTGCTCTTCATGTGCCCAATGTGAGCCGCACATGGTCCATTCTTTGGCCTCCGGTCCCTCGGTCCAAGTCTTTTCGTCCGCCCTTCACCACTCCTGATCCATCGGGCATGAACCAACACTTAACCACCTTCTCTATCGCCGTTGATAGTCTTGGCGCACCCAACACCTACACATTCATAAGCCAAGAGACATGTTACACAACGTGCATGGCACAACTCGACACGACACCTCCGATAAGCCATTAGCATAACCAAGCATATATCAAATATGAACTCAATCGGAAAAGGCTCAAACCTCCCAACTTTTGTGTCAATCATTCATAATACTCTCTCCGTTCCTCGTTTTGACTTTTTTGGTACATCCATTTTGCTATGTATTGTCTGATGCATAGCAAAATGGATATACCAAAAAAGTCAAAACGACTTATAATTTGGAACAAAAGGGAGTACATGGATTTGACCAAGGCACTTCTCAACTTGGACCCTCTCTATTTATTATAAATAAACATTGATACTATTTTCTATAGACTATTAAATTAAAAAAAGTTGACTTATTCAAACATAGGATTGCATTTTTTTTACGCAGAGCGTATGCACGCACGCTGCACGGCACCGGCGCCGGAAAAGCTGCTTCCTAGAGTTAGTCTTCCAATCCTGGTGGTTTGATGCTGGGAGCCAAGCCAAAGTCATTCGGCACAAACCACGAAAGGCTAGCTTGTAGGCAGACAAATGGATGGATGTATAGATAGCTTAATTCAGCAATGCAAGTCACAGGACTGAAAGACCATTCATGGCCTTGTAATACAG